ATATAGCTACTTCCCAGGTGGTAAAAAGTACGGGTACTTCTAGAAGGGCTAGAGACATGGGACAAAGGGCATTAGATAGAGTTTGGCCTCTAGGGTCCCAGAAAAATCTGATATTGGAACTTTTTAGCCCCGATATAGCTATATTTTAAGATTTTCCGAAAAAATTTTTGTATAACAAAAGCACGTTTTTCTTTTATACTTTTTATAATTAGAAACACAAACCAAGAAATAAATGACACGTTTTACGTTATTTTTATTATTAGAAACACAAACCGAGAAATAAATAATATTTGAAAATATAATGATCTCAGATATTTTTGGTTCGGATAAACGAATTAATCTTAACGTAAATAAATGTCAGCTTTTATCAGACATCAGATGTTTTGTGACATCTGAATATTAATATTTCATTTGTTATTGTTTTGAATATTATGTTTCGTCAGCAAGCTTAAAAAAAATATACATACACAATTTATGTACGTATGTATCTACCTAAAATTTTATTTTTATTGTTCGAGCGAAAACCTGTAAAATGTTAAATTCCAATCCATTCATATATACATACATACATAAATTCATATATACATACATACATATATTTTATTATTATCAAATTATTATTTTGTTTTTGACTAAACCTTTTCTTTATGTTTAAAATTCAATCCTATATGTTTACCCACAGTTTAAAAAAAACAGGTATCCATTCATAATTATGTATGTTTGCATTTATAATTTTATTTATAATTTTTCCAACAGCAAAATTTCAAAATTTTCGATTCTAATACATTCATATGTACATACGTTCATATGTTGGAACGAAAAATTTTAAAATCTTCAATTCTAATCCATTCATATATACATACATACACACATGTATTCATATATACATACATACATATATTTTTACATACATAAATTATTATTTTGTTTTTGTTTCTTTTTTAATTTTCGATTCTAATACATTCATATGTACATACGTTCATATGTTGGAACGAAAAATTTCAAAATCTTCAATTCTAATCCATTCATATATACATACACACATATATTCATACATACATACATATATATGAATAAAATTATTATTTTGTTTTTGACTAAACCTTTTCTTTATTTGAAAAATTAATTTTTGTATGTTTACTCCCATGATTTACTAATTATGCGTTTAAAATTTATTTCTATATATTCTACAGTTTTGAATATTATTAAATTTATATAGAAAGCTTAAAAAAAATTACTCAGGAAGCTTTAAAAAAATATACATACATACATATTTATGTACTTAAAATTTTTGCGAATTTTTCCAAACTATTATAAGAATATTTTTTTGGAAATTTTCTTTAAACTTTTATATAACATTTATCTGTTATATATTAAAAAAAAATAAAATACAAAATTTAAACAAAATAAAAAAAAAAATTTTTAAAATAATCCAAAAAAAGAAAAATACTGCATCCAGGCAAGTATTGATCCAATAACCTTCTGGCTATGAGACTACCACGCTAACCACTAGGCTACGCAGTACCTTGAATTTCTCTTCTTAATTCTATATTTTATTCATATTTCGTATAACTCTTCAAAAACCATCCTATTTTACATTTTATATATATATAGCTACTTCTCAGGTCGTAAAAAGTACGGGTACTTCTAGAAGGGCTAGAGACATGGGACAAAAGGCATTAGGTAGAGTTTTGCCTCTAGGGTACCAGAAAAATCTGACATTGGAACTTTTTAGCCCAGAAATAGCTCTATTTTAATATTTTCTGAAAAAATTTTTGTATAACAAAAGCACGTTTTTCTTTTATACTTTTTATAATTAGAAACACAAACCAAGAAATAAATGATACGTTTTACTTTTTTTTTATTATTAGAAACACAAACCGATAAATAAATAATATTTGAAAATATAATGATCTCACATATTTTTGTTGCGGATAAACGAATTAATCTTAACGTAAATAAATGTCAGCTTTTATCAGACATCAGATGTTTTGTGACATCTGAATATTAATATTTCATTTGTTATTGTTTTGAACATTACGTTTCGTCAGCAAGCTTTAAAAAAATATATGTACATACAGAATATATGTATGTACGTATGTAGTTAGAATTTTATTTTTATTGTTCCAAACGGAAAACTGTAAAATGCTAAATTTTAATACATTTATATATACATACATATATTTGAATAAAATTATTATTTTGTTTTTGCCTAAACCTTTTCTTTATTTAAAAAAATTACATTCATATGTACATATATATATTTGAATACAATTATTATTTTATTTTAACCTAAACCTTTTCTTTATTTGAGAAATTTATTTCTATATGTTCACCCGCAGTTTTGAAAAAACTAGGTATACATTCATAATAACGTGTGTTTGTGTTAATAATTTTATTTCTAATTTTTCCAACAGCAAAATTTCAAAATTTTCGATTCTAATACATTCATATGTTGGAACGAAAAATTTTAAAATCTTCAATTCTAATCCATTCATATATACATACATACACACATGTATTCATATATACATACATACATATATTTTTACATACATAAATTATTATTTTGTTTTTGTTTCTTTTTTAATTTTCGATTCTAATACATTCATATGTACATACGTTCATATGTTGGAACGAAAAATTTCAAAATCTTCAATTCTAATCCATTCATATATACATACACACATATATTCATACATACATACATATATATGAATAAAATTATTATTTTGTTTTTGACTAAACCTTTTCTTTATTTGAAAAATTACTTTTTGTATGTTTACTCCCATGATTTAATAATTATGCGTTTAAAATTTATTTCTATATATTCTACAGTTTTGAATATTATTAAATTCATATAAAAAGCTTAAAAAAAATTACTCATGAAGCTTTAAAAAAAATATACATACATACATATTTATGTACTTAAAATTTTTGCGAATTTTTCCAAACTATTATAAGAATATTTTTTTGGAAATTTTCTTTAAACTTTTATATAACATTTATCTGTTATATATTAAAAAAAAATAAAATACAAAATTTAAACAAAATAAAAAAAAAAAATTTTTAAAATAATCCAAAAAAAGAAAAATACAACATCCAGGCAAGCATTGATCCAATAACCTTCTGGCTATGAGACTACCACGCTAACCACTAGGCTACGCAGTACCTTGAATTTCTCTTATTAATTCTATATTTTATTCATATTTCGTATAACTCTTCAAAAACCATCCTATTTTACATTATATATATATAGCTACTTCTCAGGTGGTAAAAAGTACGGGTACTTCTAGAAGGGCTAGAGACATGGGACAAAAGGCATTAGGTAGACTTTTGCCTCTAGGGTACCTGTTCCGTCATGACGTCACAGTTAATTTTTCTCCTTTCCTAAAAAGAAAACAACAAAAGAAAACCACAAAGAAACACTACTTGATATGAAGGAAAATTTTTGATACTTATCTAAATTTGCTATAATCCAGTGTAATCCACTCAGCGGGTTTTTGTTCTTCACCTAAAATTGAATATATTGGATTTAACATGTAATCCTATTTGCAATAAAATACTTACATGAATTTGCAATGTTTTCCAGCTATGCATCTACCAGTCCAGATAGGATTTTCAAGTGCCGGTCCAGCACTTTTTGGTTGCTCTTCACTCCTCCATCGTTTTCTCCTTCCATTTCTGCATTTCCTTTTGGGCTCCGGCTCCTTTAAATCTCCATTTTTTTTTTGTACATAAAATTTTTGATTTTGCTTTCTTTAAAAAACTTGCACTTCACATCACAATATAAATAAAACTGGTGAGTGACAGTTTGCAGCGATCATTTCTGCACAAATATTATATTTCAATGCTGCCAACTGTCACCTATGATCATAGACGAGTTTGTTTAGAGTTATAGTCAGCTATTGACAGAAGTGTAATGGAGTAAGAGAAGAAATAGAAGGTGAATGAAATGGTGAATGGAAGGGGAAAATAGCATAAAATAGAAAAGAAGAAACGTAGAATTTTACAACAACAATTTGTATTGCGATGTATATAAGAATGATACATTGCATTACAGGTTCGTTGAACTATACCATATGATCTATGTAAAAGAAAAGAAGAAAACGTTAACAACCGAAAAGTGGGACTGGCTAGGAACAACTTCACCGTTTACTCAACCGCTGATTCCAGAAATTATAAAAGGGACAAAATCATCAAGAAGAAGTACTACTAATTAGAAGATCGCTAACCGCAACGTATCGACTTTCGAGTTATACATTTTGTCAAAATTGAAATAATTTTTTGAATTATATAATTGAAACCGAAAGAAAGTATTGTTAAACAAAGATCATTTTTTGAATTGTATAATTTCAACTTTTGTACACATAACTTTTGCATTGTGAAATAATTTGAAGAAAGAAAATTTGTATTGATTTGTATTGTGAAACAATTTGAAGAAGAAAAGAAAATTGAAGAGAAAGAAAATATAACATATATATATATAAACATATTTATTTAGTAAATTTTTTTTAAGAAAAAGAGAACATAAATTTTTTGGATTTGGTGCTTTCTATAATAAACTGAGAATTCTAAAAACCAAAAAGCTTATTTTTTATTTAAATATTTTTAAAAGTGTTAGCAATTATTCGCGAACATTTTTTGGTCCTTCGAGCCGGATTTTTTTGGAGGCAAATTTGAATTTAGAAACTTGGCTTTTTTATTGTAAAATTAAACTTATATACTTTAAATGAAGAACGATGTTGTGTAATAAATTGGTGTTAAAATAGACCATAGACAAAGGTGGTAGTGCGATATATATATAAAAAAAAAGGAAATAATTAATAGTGGTAAAAGTTTGAAAAAAAAAGGTGTTGCTTAAAACATTCGAAAAAAATATTAATGAACCATTATATATTTAAGTTTTGTTGCAAAGGAACAGTGTAAAATATTAAGATTTACAAACATAAAAAAAAAAAAATATATAAGAAGGGAACATTGTGTTTTTTTTTTTTGTGTGAATTTTTTGAAGCTAGTAGTGCAAAACGGTTTCGGTATCGGTTCGCGTTTCGCGCCAATGGAATAAGCGGAGTAAGTGGTTCTGGAGTATGTGGCTGGCTAACAGAAAATTAAGTAAGTCCGTTCCAATTATTTTTTAAGAAAAAATATTTTCTTCTTTTTGTGGAGATTTTGGTTGAAGATTTTATTATATGTTTTGTTCAACCATTTTTAATGGAATTGGATTGCTTGTGTGGTGTCTAATTGATTGTGGACATTGTTTTTTTTTTGGATGGATGGAATATAGTTATTTATATTTTTGAGGCAACAGATTATTTAAAAAAAAAAGAAAAATAATAATAAAAGAAAGAAGATTTTAAGGTTGAAAGTATCTTGTGCGATTTGATCAAAACGCGGTAATAATTATAATTGAAATTACAAAAAAAAATTTAATTAAAAAAGGATCATAACTCTATCATTGGTGGTTGCACATATTACTAATCTAACATTCAACAACATTTTAAGATTATTAGTTCGAACAATAGAAGCGTTGTTTTTCGCGCGGGGATTCCGTTTTTTAAAAAGTGAATTTATGAGTTAACAACTTCTAATGAAAGAATTGTGCAATAAATTGATTGAAAGTGTTGTGTGAAATAAGTGAATTGTAATATAATTAAAATTAATTTAATACTGTACGGTATCGATTATTTTTCGGTAAAGTTAAAAAAAAAAAAAATATATATAACTTTTCTACAAAATAAAAACTTTGTACAAAGCAAAAGTTAACTGGGTTCTTGAATAAAATTGTTCGTTTGATTAATAATAAGCGTTTATTTTTTTATTGCCCGTATTCGTTTACTTTTGTATTTGTTCCTTTTACATTAACGTAAAGGGATATTTTCGTGACACACTTTTTTTTTGATACTATATACAATGGACAAATTAATTAAGCTTCAATTAGCGGACAAGTTTTTGATCGAGGAAATAGTCTCACATTTTCTGGATGACACACGTGAAAGCAAGCCGAAGGCGTTTTACAGGGAAGCTCTAGATGACATAGGGGGCCTGTATGCGGAGCTGAAGAAGAGACATAGACAAATATTGGTTGCATCATACACTGACAAACATAAACATCAAATGATAGAAGCTGAAATGAAAAGCAAATTCCCAGAGAAACCACCGGAGCTAAAGAAGGACCCAAATCAAAGTATAAGCCAAAGGGTGGATGTTCCCAATATTTCAATAAATTTGCCAAAAATCACCTTGGCAAAATTTGACGGCGATTATCAAAAGTGGCCTTCGTTCTATGATCTTTTTAAATCTTTGGTCCATAATAATGAGATGATTCCAGCGGTCCAGAAATTACAGTACCTCAAATTGCACCTTTCCGGTGAACCAGAGCATTTATTGAGAGCCTTTCAAGTAACAGAGGATAATTATGCTGCCGCATTCAACATGTTGAAAGAAAGATATGACAACAAGCGAGTATTAGTTAATACTCAACTTAAATTGCTGCTCAATCAAAGCTTTGTAAATCAGGAGACGGCTACGGCAGTTAAAAAATTACTGGACACTACTAATGAATGCTTACAGGCATTAAAGAATCTACAAATAGATGTGGAGGGCTGGGATCCTATAATAGTTTATCTCATCGTGCAAAAACTGCCAACCGAGACACATCAGCTATGGGAACAGAGCGTCAGCGCGGAGAATCAATTACCAACTTGGCGACAATTGGAAAGTTTCCTTGAAACTCGATTTCGGACATTGGAGGCTATATCAACGAGGCGATCTTCATCACATTATAGACCTATACAAAACGAAGCTAGTAAGCACAGGAATAGTTGCGCTTTGCATGCTGCTACGGATGCAACGGCGAATAGTAACCCACCTTGCCCTATTTGTCGGAGCCCACACAAGGTGAAGCAATGCAAAAGATTTTTGGGATTAAGGCAAAACAAAAGATTGGAAGCTGTTAAAGGTAGGGGATTGTGTATCAACTGTCTTAATTCTGGACATATGATGACCACTTGCCCTAGTCAACAGAGTTGTTTTAAATGTCATCAACGACATCATACCCTATTGCATAGGGACAACGAAGAAATTGGGGATCGAAGCCTATCACGGCGACAGCAGCAGACCGCAGTCGCGTCACAAGTACGTGCGCACTACGTCTCACATGATCCATCACCTCCAACCACGGCGGGTGAAATTTCGTCATCGGTGCCAGCATTCGTACCCGGCAGCAACAGCCATGTTCACACTTGCGGCACATCGGATGCACACACACGACAGGTTCTACTGGCCACTGCGTGCATTAAAATAGTATGTCCAGCAACGGGACGCTATCAGAGGGCGAGAGCTCTAATCGATCCTGGTTCGCAGAGTTCTTTCATCACCGAATCAGCGGTTCAGAATTTGAAATTACGGAAAAACAGAACAATAACAAATATACACGGTGTATCAGAAAGCAACATTGGCAAATCACTAGCAAAAGTGGATGTCATTATACGAGATCTAGGAGATTCCAAGCAGGTGCGAACTTCGGCATTGGTTCTCAAGAAACTGACCAACTTGCTACCAGAGCGTAATATTCAAACCAAGGAGTGGTCACACATAGACGGATTGATCCTAGCTGATCCAAGTTATTTTGCGATGGGAAAAATAGATGTACTCATCGGAGCAGACATTTTTGGCCAAATTATTTTGGAGGGACTAAGAAAGGGTCCCCCTGGTGCATCAATTGCTCAAAAATCTATTTTTGGATGGATCATAACGGGCAATGTCGATCAACAAAGTGTCAACACGACATCAACAGAGACGTTCCACATCCAATCCGATTTGGATGATAGTATCAGAAGGTTCTGGGAGTTAGAAGAAGTACCGGAACAAACAATATATACAGAAGAAGAATTATTATGTGAAAAGCATTTTTCTGAAACATTTCGTAGACTTGAGGATGGACGCTATCAGGTTGAGTTACCTTTTATACCAGGTGAGCGTCCCATATCACTTGGAAGTTCAAGACACATTGCGATTGCCAGGCTTTTCGGCATGGAGAAGCAATTTTCAAAAAATGAGGTATTGAAAGACAACTACAACAAGTGCATAACTGAATATTTGCAGATGAACCATATGGAGCAAGTGAATTCAATGGAATTAAAAAATCAACGACAACAAATCATCTCGAATTATTTGCCACATCACGGCGTCATTAAAGAAAGTAACTCAACTACAAAACTACGAGTGGTTTTTGATGCATCACGGCCTACTTCAAATGGTTCATCATTAAATGACAAGACATTAAAGGGCCCGGTCATACAAGATGATTTATCTACTCTTCTATTACGTTTTCGAAAATATAAAATTGCATTTACAGCAGATTTGGAGAAGATGTATAGGCAAATCCGAATCGCACCGCAACATGCCGATTATCAAAGGGTAGTCTGGAGAGATTCTCCGAGACAATTAATTCGTGACTACAAATTGACTACAGTAACATTTGGTACAAAATCAGCACCGTTTCTAGCAACACGAGTATTAAAACAGTTGGCGATAGATGAAAAGGTAAACTATCCTATTGCATCAAGAATAACGTTGGATTCATTTTATGTGGATGATCTGCTGTCGGGTGCGGATTCTATCGAAAGGGCATTGGAAATGCAAAAACAATTATTGAACATGATGACTTCGGGCGGATTCTCATTGCGCAAGTGGTCATCAAACGCAGCTGAGCTACTAGAAGCCCTTCCACAAGAACATCGAGAAATCAATTGGCCTTTAAAAATTGAAGAAGCTGAAACCGTGAAAACATTGGGCATACAATGGGATCCAGCAAACGACCAATTTTCGTATAAAATTTCCCTACTGGAAAATGATTCACAGAAATGGACAAAGCGAACAATATTGTCGGAGGTTTCAAAACTATTCGATCCTTTCGGCTGGTTGGCACCTTGTATCATTATAGCCAAGATAATGATACAAAAATTATGGCTTTCGGGTTCAGGCTGGGATGATGAGGTAGAAAGGAGCTTGCACGATGAATGGCAGATCTACAGGAAGACTCTTGTTCATCTGGAAGCACTACGTATGAACAGGTGGTTCTACTATTCAACATCAGCAAATAAAATAGAATTACATGGATTTTGTGATGCTTCGATAAAGGCGTATGCTGCGGTGGTCTACCTGGTTGTCATAGACGAAAAGGGAAGCCGAAAAACTAGCATGTTAATTGCAAAATCAAAGGTGGCTCCAATAAAAACAATATCTTTGCCAAGACTAGAGTTGAGCGGCGCGGCATTATTGGCGAAACTTATGAAATATGTCCAGCGAGTATTGAAAATTGAAAATATATCGAAGGTGCAAGCTTGGACGGATTCAGAGATCGTGTTGGCTTAGTTGCGGGCTCACCCGAGCAAATGGACCACGTTTGTAGCAAATCGGACCGCTGAGATACATCACACATTAGGCAAAAACATATGGCGTCACGTGCCCTCAAAGGAAAACCCAGCTGATTGTGCTTCACGGGGAATGCATCCACCAGATCTTATAAACTTCAAAATGTGGTGGAACGGCCCAGAATGGTTACAGAAATCGGAGTCACACTGGCCAATTAAAACACTACTCCAAGATACGGATAGCGAGATACGAAAATCGACTCTGTGTCACAACACGATCATAAATGATAAAGAATGCAACGAGATTCACGAATTGGAAACACGATATTCATCATTTACGAAACTAATCAATGTAACGAGTTACATCAAAAGATTCATCGCCAAAGTAACCAAGAGAAATCTAAATTGCAATACATTTATATCGGTGTCAGAATTCAACGCTAGCGTGGAGATGTGGATACAAATAGTGCAGCATAAACATTTTTTACAAGAAGTGACACAATTGCGGAAAAAGAAACTTATTCATACGAACAGTCGTTTAACGAGGCTTAATCCCTTTCTGGATCAAAATGGAATATTGAGAATGGGTAGCAGATTGCGACACGCAGATTTGAATTACAATGAGAAATTTCCGATTATATTGCCCGATAGAAGCCATTTTGTGCGACTACTTTTAGAAAAAATTCATCGCGAAACTTTGCATGGTGGTGCTCAACTTATGCTCAACGTAATAAATAGAAAGTTTTGGATCATTGGTGCACGGGATCAAATTCGACAACAAATACATAAATGCGTCACGTGCTATCGACAGCGGGCTGCAGTTCAAAAACAGCTCATGGGGGACTTGCCTGCTTTTCGAGTTAGGGCCAGTCGGCCATTTACACATACTGGCGTTGATTATTGCGGGCCATTTGAATTGAGAACTCATAAAGGCAAAAAATACGAGGACATATAAGGCGTACATATCTATTTTTATATGTCTTGCAGTTAAGGCCATACACATCGAGCTGGTCACGGACCTTAGCAGCGAGGGATTCATCGCAGCATACAGAAGATTCAGTAGCAGACGCGGCAGGTGCGAGGTACTCTATTGCGATAATGGTACTAATTTTGTCGGCGCTAGCAAAGAGCTTGCAAAACAACATAAACAGATGTTACAGCAATTAAAATCAGAATTAGCACAAGTACACGAACGTGACGGGGTGGTTTTCAAATTCATACCACCTGGTTCACCTCACTTTGGCGGATTATGGGAGGCTGGTGTCCGCTCTACAAAGCAGCATCTTAAAAAAATACTCGGAAATGCGAAGTTGACATATGAGGAGTTTTCAACGGTCCTAACTCAGATTGAGGCTTGCCTAAACTCCAGACCTCTCTGTGAAATTAGCAGAAATCCAGACGATTGCACGGCCCTAACACCTGGGCATTTCCTGACTGGTGATGTAATTATTACACCACCTGAGCCTTCTTTGCTGGATTTAAACGAAAATAGATTAAACACATGGCAACTATTGCAAAAATTGCATCAAACCTTTTGGACACGTTGGAATAAAGAATACCTATACCGATTGCAGCAGCGTCCAAAATGGACTAAAAGGACTGAAAACATGAAAATGGTGATTTGGTTTTACTTAGGGACGAGAAGTTGCCACCAAGCCGATGGTTGATGGGTGGAATAACAGAAATTCATCCTGGTCCCGATGGACTTGTTCGAGTTGTTACGTTAAAAACGAAGGATAATGTGTTGAGGCGTTCGATTGCAAAGATATGTTTACTACCAGTAGATACAATGGAAAATTATGATGAAACCGAAACGCAATCAATCGAGACCGATTAATCGCATTTTTGAGAAACAAAAAAAAATCGCGTAACGTATCGTTATCTAATCGTACGCAACTGGCACTACACTTAATACGCAATAAAACGAAAAAAAAAAAAAAAAACTTGAAGAAATCGCGCAACCTAACGTTACCGAGTTGCACCTAACATCGCATTACCTAATAACACCTAACTTGCGCTACTTAACGATAAAAAAAAAGAAAAAAATTAGAGGCACCTAATACAAACATTTCTAACCTACGCTTAAATTTAACTTAAAATTTAAAATTAGTAACACTTAAATTAATTTGTTTTAACTTATTACTAATAGATTTTTTTCTTTATCCTAATTCTTCCCACTTCCTGAATTTCCGGAAAGCGAGATAAAGCGCTATAACTTCTTCCTTCTATCCCTCTGCTCTTCTCGTTACAGGTGAAGACCTAAAAGGAACATGACTTTAGTGATGGATACAACTTGCATTTGGAACGTTTAATCGAAACTTGAAAACTTACCAATTATCATCACAACATGGCTAATTCGGTATCAATATCACTGTTCACCAGCAACACACCTTTTATGCTCCAGCAACCCGTCAGCACGTCACTGTTTTGCCATCTTTCAACATGGATGCCAAGGCCGGGAGAATGTTCCGTCATGACATCACAGTTAATTTTTCTCCTTTCCTAAAAAGAAAACAACAAAAGAAAACCACAAAGAAACACTACTTGATATGAAGGAAAATTTTTGATACTTATCTAAATTTGCTATAATCCAGTGTAATCCACTCAGCGGGTTTTTGTTCTTCACCTAAAATTGAATATATTGGATTTAACATGTAATCCTATTTGCAATAAAATACTTACATGAATTTGCAATGTTTTCCAGCTATGCATCTACCAGTCCAGATAGGATTTTCAAGTGCCGGTCCAGCACTTTTTGGTTGCTCTTCACTCCTCCATCGTTTTCTCCTTCCATTTCTGCATTTCCTTTTGGGCTCCGGCTCCTTTAAATCTCCATTTTTTTTTTGGACATAAAATTTTTGATTTTGCTTTCTTTAAAAAACTTGCACTTCACATCACAATATAAATAAAACTGGTGAGTGACAGTTTGCAGCGATCATTTCTGCACAAATATTATATTTCAATGCTGCCAACTGTCACCTATGATCATAGACGAGTTTGTTTAGAGTTATAGTCAGCTATTGACAGAAGTGTAATGGAGTAAGAGAAGAAATAGAAGGTGAATGAAATGGAGAATGGAAGTGGAAAATAGCATAAAATAGAAAAGAAGAAACGTAGAATTTTACAACAACAATTTGTATTGCGATGTATATAAGAATGATACATTGCATTACAGGTTCGTTGAACTATACCATATGATCTATGTAAAAGAAAAGAAGAAAACGTTAACAACCGAAAAGTGGGACTGGCTAGGAACAACTTCACCGTTTACTCAACCGCTGATTCCAGAAATTATAAAAGGGACAAAATCATCAAGAAGAAGTACTACTAATTAGAAGATCGCTAACCGCAACGTATCGACTTTCGAGTTATACATTTTGTCAAAATTGAAATAATTTTTTGAATTATATAATTGAAACCGAAAGAAAGTATTGTTAAACAAAGATCATTTTTTGAATTGTATAATTTCAACTTTTGTACACATAACTTTTGCATTGTGAAATAATTTGAAGAAAGAAAATTTGTATTGATTTGTATTGTGAAACAATTTGAAGAAGAAAAGAAAATTGAAGAGAAAGAAAATATAACATATATATATATAAACATATTTATTTAGTAAATTTTTTTTAAGAAAAAGAGAACATAAATTTTTTGGATTTGGTGCTTTCTATAATAAACTGAGAATTCTAAAAACCAAAAAACTTATTTTTTATTTAAATATTTTTAAAAGTGTTAGCAATTATTCGCGAACAGTACCAGAAAAATCTGACATTGGAACTTTTTAGCCCCGAAATAGCTCTATTTTAAGATTTTCTGAAAAAATTTTTGTATAACAAAAGCACGTTTTTCTTTTATACTTTTTATAATTAGAAACACAAACCAAGAAATAAATGATACGTTTTACGTTATTTTTATTATTAGAAACACAAACCGAGAAATAAATAATATTTGAAAATATAATGATCTCACATATTTTTGTTGCGGATAAACGAATTAATTTTAATGTAAATAAATGTCAGCTTTTATCAGACATCAGATGTTTTGTGACATCTGAATATTAATATTTCATTTGCTATTGTTTTGAACATTACGTTTCGTCAGCAAGCTTTAAAAAAATATATGTACATACAGAATATATGTATGTACGTATGTAGTTAGAATTTTATTTTTATTGTTCCAAACGGAAAACTGTAAAATGCTAAATTTTAATACATTTATATATACATACATACATATATTTGAATAAAATTATTATTTTGTTTTTGCCTAAACCTTTTCTTTATTTAAAAAAATTACATTCATATGTACATATATATGTTTGAATACAATTATTATTTTATTTTAACCTAAACCTTTTCTTTATTTGAGAAATTTATTTCTATATGTTCACCCGCAGTTTTAAAAAAACTAGGTATACATTCATAATAACGTTAGTTTGTGTTAATAATTTTATTTCTAATTTTTCCAACAGCAAAATTTCAAAATTTTCGATTCTAATACATTCATATGTACATACGTTCATATGTTGGAACGAAAAATTTTAAAATCTTTAATTCTAATCCATTCATATATACATACATACACACATGTATTCATATATACATACATACATATATTTTTACATACATAAATTATTATTTTGTTTTTGTTTCTTTTTTAATTTTCGATTCTAATACATTCATATGTACATACGTTCATATGTTGGAACGAAAAATTTCAAAATCTTCAATTCTAATCCATTCATATATACATACACACATATATTCATACATACATACATATATATGAATAAAATTATTATTTTGTTTTTGACTAAACCTTTTCTTTATTTGAAAAATTAATTTTTGTATGTTCACTCCCATGATTTAATAATTATGCGTTTAAAATTTATTTCTATATATTCTACAGTTTTGAATATTATTAAATTCATATAGAAAGCTTAAAAAAATTACTCAGGAAGCTTTAAAAAAAATATACATACATACATATTTATGTACTTAAAATTTTTGCGAATTTTTCCAAACTATTATAAGAATATTTTTTTGGAAATTTTCTTTAAACTTTTATATAACATTTATCTGTTATATATTAAAAAAAAATAAAATACAAAATTTAAACAAAATAAAAAAAAAAATTTTTAAAATAATCCAAAAAAAGAAAAATACAACATCCAGGCAAGCATTGATCCAATAACCTTCTGGCTATGAAACTACCACGCTAACCACTAGGCTACGCAGTACCTTGAATTTCTCTTATTAATTCTATACTTTATTCATATTTCGTATAACTCTTCAAAAACAATCCTATTTTACATTATATATATATAGCTACTTCTCAGGTGGTAAAAAGTACGGGTACTTCTAGAAGGGCTAGAGACATGGGACAAAGGGCATTAGGTAGAGTTTTGCCTCCAGGGTCCCAGAAAAATCTGACATTCGAACTTTTTAGCCCCGAAATAGCTCTATTTTAAGATTTTCTGAAAAAATTTTTGTATAACAAAAGCACGTTTTTCTTTTATACGTTTTATAATTAGAAACACAAACCAAGAAATAAATGATACGTTTTACGTTATTTTTATTATTAGAAACACAAACCGAGAAATAAATAATATTTGAAAATGCAATGATCTCACATATATTTTAATTTCGAAAAATCGAAATAAACTTAAATGTCAGATTTTATAAAAGACATCAGATGTTTTGTGGCAACTGAATATTAATACTTCATTTGTTATTGTTTTGAATATTATGTTTCGTCAGCAAGCTTTAAAAAAATATACATACACAATTTATGTATGTACGTATGTATCTACCTAAAATTTTATTTTTATTGTTCGAGCGAAAACCTGTAAAAAATGCTAAATTCCAATCCATTCATATATACATACACACATATATTCATATATGCAAACATACATATTATATTTTTACATATGTACATAAATTATTATTTTGTTTTTGACTAAACCTTTTCTTTATGTTTAAAATTCAATCCTATATGTTTACCCACAGTTTAAAAAAAACAGGTATCCATTCATAATTATGTATGTATGTTTGCATTTATAATTTTATTTATAATTTTTCCAACAGCATAATTTCAAAATTTTCGATTCTAATACATTCATTTATTATTATTTTGTTTTTGACTAAACCTTTTCTTTATGTTTAAAATTCAATCCTATATGTTTACCCACAGTTTAAAAAAAACAGGTATCCATTCATAATTATGTATGTATGTTTGCATTTATAATTTTATTTATAATTTTTCCAACAGCAAAATTTCAAAATTTTCGATTCTAATACATTCATTTATTATTATTTTGTTTTTGACTAAACCTTTTATTTATGTTTAAAATTCAATCCTATATGTTTACCCACAGTTTAAAAAAAACAGGTATCCATTCATAATTATGTATGTATGTTTGCATTTATAATTTTATTTATAATTTTTCCAACAGCAAAATTTCAAAATTTCCGATTCTAATACATTCATATGTACATGCGTTCATATGTTGGAACGAAAAATTTTAAAATCTTCAATTCTAATCCATTCATATATACATACACACATATATTCATATATTCATACATACATATATTTTTACATACATAAATTATTATTTTGTTTTTGTTTCTTTTTTAATTTTCGATTCTAATACATTCATATGTACATACGTTCATATGTTGGAACGAAAAATTTTAAAATCTTCAATTCTAATCCATTCAAATATACATACACACATATATTCATATATTCATACATACATATATTTTTACATACATAAATTATTATTTTGTTTTGACTAAACCTTTTCTTTATTTGAAAAATTAATTTTTG